TGAGTTAATGGCAGGAATATCTAGATTTAGTCAACACTATAATTGATGTCAGGATGAGGAGAAGTCCGATGTTTCCCGTCACAGGGGCCGCGAGTCCAACTGCTATAATCCACAAAAGTCCTCCTTTCTGTTTTTTTTTTTTTTTTCTCGGATTAAATTCTGTAGAAGCAAAACTCGGGCTCGTCTCCTTGTTGGTTAGTGTATCATATTAAACAACACCTGTATTTAATTTAAAAAATAAAAGAGATAAAAACAGTTAGGGGGACACTATGACCAGTAACTTCTCAGTAGCGTACAGTGGTAGAGAGCCTTTCTTGCCCTCCAGGTGGGCAGTTCCAGAAGAGTGTGACGTCACGCAAAAATCGAATTTTGAAGTTTCATGTAATCCTCGTCAGTGTCCACAGCCCTCGTATTTGACTCTTTTCTTTCAGACGGAGGAAAAAGAGATGAAGACCGAACGACGTAAAGCCAAAAGAGCTGTGACTCTGCTCCTCCAGGAGAGAAACGGCATCCACAATGAACTAAAGCCAGACGAGAAGCAGACAGGTGAGCAGAAAACAGAAACCCCTCTTCATATTATTACATCATTAACTTGTTACAGTCCGAACAATAGAAGAGTTCTTTTTGTGAATAAGTTTCCTGCAAAGAGCTCAACAGCAGCGAGGCGTGGTACGACGCTGAAGAAGATCTGTGTGCTGCAGCAGCTGATGGGATGGCAGGGGATCCGGCAGGGGACCCGGCAGGGGACCCGGCAGGGGATCCGGCAGGGGACCCGGCAGAGGATCCGGCAGGGGATCCGGCAGGGGATCCGGCAGGGGATCCGACAGAGGTCATAAAAAACATCACAAGTGGTGAGTAAGGGTCTCAAAATGTTTTTAATACCAGGTGAACCAGACGATACAATCTGTTATTTTAATGATAAATACTGAAAAGACCAGAAGCTAAAACTTCAGATCTTCAGTTGTGTTTGTAACGGATGGTCGTGTCCGTATGATAGATGTGTTTGACAACGTCAGCATTATTACACTTTCAATGTTTAGACATAGTGCAGGATAGAGGCTGACATTTTTTGGGGATGTGTCGGGATTCCCGGGGTAGGGAGGGTATTTCACTACTAATCATCAGGATGGGATGAGAATCAAGATCACAATAGATCAGTTTTATCTGCACACACAAAGAAATGAATAAAGGCTGTTATTTCTATCAGCTCTGGGGTCTGTTTGCTGGTTAAATGACGACACAATCATGTGCAGCTGCCACGTTACTCAAACAACAATTCTGAGAAAGCACGTAGAAGTGATGAGGGAAAGGCATATCTGCAGCGCAAAGCTAAAAACAACGAGCCGGCTGTTCAACTGACAGAGCTCTTTAAAAAAAAAAAAAAAAAACAGGAACAGGATGAGACCAGAGTCAGGATGAGATGAGATTTTTATTTTTTTTTGGATTGGGATGGTAGTTAAAAACCAGAATAAACAGGAGTGCAGATGGCCCAATGGTTCAAATCCGACCTCAGCCCTTTGCTGCACATCGCCCCCCCCGCTCTCTCTTCTCCATGTTTCCTTTCTCTCTCGTGCTGTCAGGTCTAATAAAGGAAAAAAGGCCCAAGCATATATTTTAACAAACAAGAACAGAATGAACCCAACATTGGGTGCATAGGACTTCTGTTTTAGTTACCATGGTGTCCAAACACATATCAGTATTATTTGTTTATACTAGTATCAAAATTCTGGTGTCAGGACCACCCTAGAAGAGTTCAAGGAAAGTAGCTTGAGCACTTTGACCTCCAGAGGTAGAGCTTTGAATACATTTGGCATCATCTTTGTATTGTTTTTTTTTTTACCCACAGAGTTATCTTCAGAGGAGGGCAAGAAGTCTGTCCTGTTTGTTTCCAACCTGCCCAGTAACGTGACAGAAGTGAGTTTATCATGTTGTACCGGTATGTGTTGGTTACAGCCAGCAGAGGGCAGTAGAGAGTGAAACTAAAAGTTTGTCTCCTCCAGCATGATGTGATGATGCAGTTTGAAAAATACCAAGCATCAGAAGTCAGCGTGTCTGCTTTGAAGAACGGTGTGAGGTGAGCTGATGGTAACACTCAGATTCATGTTTGGTTTTCGTCTCGTCGTCTAAGCTGCTCTAAATATTAAAAAATGTGGAACCTTCTTGTTCTCTCCTCCCCATATGTCCAACTCTTTCAATATCCGTGTAACAGCAAGCCTGTATGTCTGGCTTCTGTTCTAGTGTTGCCATAGTGATGATAAGTGGAGCCCAGTGTGCCGAGGCTGCAGTGAGAGAGCTGAACGGCCGCAGCGTGCAAGGCCACACTTTACATGTGGAGCACATCAACAGAACACCTGAAGGCCGGAGTCAGGCATCGCCCTCCATCGGTGGACCTGAGTCTCCAAGAACGTCCAACACTCAGTCCAACAAAACTGAGAGACAGGTGAGGAGGATCAGGACAGGTAGATCTGAACATTCTGTCACTTCAGACATGCTGTATGATCCACAAGGTCATGATTAATCAGTATGAAGAGTAGAAGATAAAAGGACTTCAGATAACTGGCACATGTTTTGGTAGAAAGCTTACTGACTGTTTTCAGAATTAAAGACGTCAGCTGCAGCTACCTGATAAAGGTCACAATCTGAAACACTCTGACACCATGTGTTTTAAAACGCTTAAACAAAATCTTCAGTCACAGTTTGAACCCAAGGAGAGAGCGAGAGAGAGAGCAGCAGCAGCAGCAGAGGGGATACATTCAAATTCACATGTTGGTTTACCTGGATTATCAAACATTGAGCTTCTAGTTTCTAGTTTTAAAGGTTGTGTCTCTTGGAGGCTGAGGAGGAGCAGAGGGTTTCACCGCCTGTTCAGCCTCTTCAGCCGGGGCCTGCGATGAATTACACCCCTCTGAAAATGTACGCTGACTGGGATTTTTGTACTCCCACTTTTGTTTTCCACCAGTGGAAATAGAGGACGACTGACCTGTTGGCAGCAGACTTTCAACACGACACAGACCCTCAGTCCTTCCTTTTTAAGTGTGTCTGCCTTTTAAGATAAACATAGAACTGCTCTGGTTGGATCGATCCACCTGTATTGAATAATCTATCACCGTGTGCCGTCACAGTTTGGATTTCACACGAGCTCTGCTGCACATTAAATGTTTTATTGTCATATTTTAGTTTCTGTTTGTGGACCAAGGAAGATTTATCTTTTAATCTGAAGATTAAAATCTGTTCACAGATATTATTAGGCAGCACGGTCACAAACACTGCTTTTAGAATAACGCTCTTCACCGACTCATCAAACAAGTGAAGATTGAATTTCTGAGACTGTATTTTTTTTTTTTTTTTTTTTTTTTACGTTTTGCTCGACTAGTTGAAATGAACTGAAGTCACATGCTACGGTTTAGTGTTGACTTTACACCTCTACTAAAGACAGAACTTGTGTCTAGCTGGTGTAACAGACCACTTTAGTATTTTAAAGACGACAGGTTATTTCTAGATCATGAAATAATCATCATTCTTGAAAATCTGAACAACTTCATGAAGAAGAATGTGTTTCCTGTTCTCTCTCTAGCTGACCGCTCAGCCGCTGCTCAGCTCCCCCACCAAGACCAGGAAGGTGGTCTGCATCTCTCCCATCGCAAAGGGAACATGCGTACCCCAACACTACTGCACCATGGGCAGCTTCGACACCCTGATGGCAGAGCTGACGCAGCGGCACCCGGACGTCGGCAGGCAGAGGATTGTGGACTCTCTGCTGGAGCTGAAGGCCAAACACCAGGGCGTCCTAAGCGGTCTGCCTCTCAGGACCATCAGGGACATGACGTCCCAGCTTCTGACCAGGCCAGCCAGTCCAGAACAGTTCTAAGGACGCCGCTCTTTAGAGGCTTTTTTTTTGTGAGCAGTGATCTGTTTGAAGTTTTGTTGTTGCTATCACAGCTCCAGGTTTAAAAAAGAGGGGAGGGAGTTGAACACGTTCTTGTTAAGCGTTTGGTCTAACAGACCATGTTTTGTGTTTTTTTTTTTTTTTTGAGAATTCATCAGATTGTTAATTAATGCTGAAGAAGCTTTGATGATTGAGAGTCTTGCCAGATTTGGCAGTTACTTTAGTTCATGTATGCACACGTTAATGCATCTCTGTTTCTTTCTGAACAATAAAATAAGATGCACATTAAAATGTTTTCTTACCTTTTTATTGTTCTCCTCCTGAGCCCCTCCTCTCTTTGCTCCTCCTTTTTTATGTCACGTGCCTCCTCGTTTCCTCTCCTCTCCTCCTGCTCGCCATCTACCATGAGTATACGGTACATCCTAGACTTACTAGTGTTATTATATTTAACATTTCTTTTTAAAGATGACACGGAGGCACAGATGATTTATTCTGTTAGCTAGACTCATTTCTATTAGTGTTTCGTCATCTCCTCCAAACACACAGACTCCGAGTCCAGATCAGGATCAGGTTTTTATTGTGATGAACATTTACACATCTAAGGAATGTGACATATTGTGTTGGTGCAAAGAAATAAAGAACAAATAATAAGAAGCTAAGAAAAGTGGAAATGTGGAGAATAAAACTGAAACACATTTTGGAGAATAAAGGTTGAGTAAAAATGGCAAATGTCGAGAATAAAAGTGAACATTTTGAGAATTTAGGGTTGAGCTATAAAGATGAAATGTTTGGAATAAAATTTAAACACGACCATTGAAATCTCAATTTTATTCTTGTACTTGTATTTTAGTTTATTTCTCGACATTTAGTCTTAATTCTTGAAATGCATAATGAAAAAAATCCTCTTCCGTACTCCAAGCGAGGACATTTAAATTCTGCTCGGGTTTCTGTTGATCGCAAGTAACACGTAACGACCTGTGGCTGCAGTTCCCCAGAGCCACCACTAGATGTCCTCAAAACCAGCGGATGTCAGTCTCTCCACGGTGCCAAACGTTCAACAGAGCAGCGAAAGGGTTAATGTAATCCACAGGAGAAATGGGCGGAGATTCCAGCTGGGACACAAACCGGACAAACCGCCAGAGAAGCACGAATGTGGAGAAGAAAAAAATCACTGCTAGTGGTTGTGTGAAATCATCTGTGTATCTCTGGGCTCTCTTTGTTTCTTCGTCCAGCTCAACCTTTTGCCTCTGTTTGAGACCGAGGAGGTTTGTCTGAGGTCGATGGAGAAGTTGAGGAGTCGCTGTCAGATATGGGAGAAGTAGTCAGGACGTGGAGAGCTGAAGCTGCAGAGTCCGAGCTGAGAAACTTGAGTTGTGGAAGCGAATCAACAGGACTGCTCTCTCTCTGTTGCACGCTGTGAAACAATGGCAAACTGTCTGTGCCTGCACACGGATCCTCTGTTATAAACCGGGAATACGCGCGTTACATGCGCTCACATGGAATAATAAACACACCTTCATCTTGCGTCTTTTTTTTTTTTTTGGCACAAATCAACAGGAATACTTCCGATGAGAGCGCTCATGGTTATGTTATAAGTCGGTGTCAGCTGTAGCAGAAGAAGTGCAACAGATCTGTCCCCCCCCCCCACCACCCCCCACGTCAGCGTTGATAAACACGCCGAGTGACACCATGTGCAGCCCGGGGACGTGGATGTGGAGAGCCGCTTTGTGCTGCGCGCTTCTGGAAACATTGCTGCACACTGCCAGAGGTAGGACAAAGCAGGCTTGTTGTGCTTTGAGCTAAATTCTGTATTCTCTGCATTCAGCCTTGTTTTTGCAGCAACAACATAGAGCCTTGTGTGTCGTGCAAACACGCACACACACACATGCGGGGTGGAGAAGTGGAGACACATGGAGGCGAGACAAACAGGTCAACGTTGGGTTGTTTCTGTTTCTGGGCAGGTTACAAAAGAAGAGAGCAAATCAACTCCTCCTGTCTTGAAATGGAGGAGTTTTATAATGTGACGATATCTAATTATTCCCTGCACACAGTCTCACAGGTGCCTAAAGCCTTTGTGTCGAAATGATGTCATGCAAAACTGCAATTAATATGAAATCGTTGTGTGAAAACAGTAAAAGAAACACCTCTGCAGTGTCGTGCATATTATCATTAAATGCTGGCACTGTGTCAGATCTGGTATCTAGGTATCCCTGCTGCATGTGCATATGTTCAACATTATTTAAATGCACTGAGGAAGAGAAATGGTAGAAATATCCTGAATTATGATGTAATCCCGTGCAAAGCCACAAACCAGAGCTCCAACCCTCAACGCAGAGCTTTAATTTAACCCTTCAGGAACGTTGCCAACAAAGTGTTTAACCATTTGATCAAGGCGAGGGGCTGCACAGGTTGTTCTGCTTTTCTGTTGTGAGTCCTTCAGTAGAGATACATGCATGACGGTTGTTATTACTGTAACCACCCCTTTCTGTGATGGTTCCAACACTCACAGGTCTCAACATGTGTATGAGTGGCAGCGCTACATCCTGTGAAGAATGCCTCCTGATTCACCCCAGTTGCGCCTGGTGCGCACAAGAGGTAAAAAAAAAAAAAACATACCTTCTGTGTCATTTTCAGGGATTTGCGATCAGCTGCGGTGTTTAGTTTTTCATAGAGGCGAAAAGTGTCTCTGAGCCTCATGTGTCATTATATTTAAAACCTTTCATCCCGCAGGACTTTGGGAGGGGTCGGACTCTGACATCGAGGTGCGATTTCAAACAGAACCTGCATAAGAGAGGCTGTGATCCGCTGTTCATAGAGTTCCCCAGCAGCAGCGTTTCTATCCTGCAGAACATGCCGCTGAGTGATAAGGGGTCCGGGGCGACCCAATACGATGTGGTCCAGATTATGCCCCAGAGCATCTCTCTCAGCCTGCGGCCCGGTAAGTTTTACACACAGTCAGAGTCGAGGAAAACCACTGCACGATGCACAAGTGACGGCACTGTTCTTCCTCTACTCCTGCATGATGTCATGAGTGCACCAGCTGACAGACTCTTCTTCTGCCCATGTAGGAGAACAGACGTGGTTCGGGCTGCAGGTACGGCAGGTGGAGGACTACCCAGTGGATCTTTACTACCTGATGGACTTGTCTCTGTCCATGAAGGACGATCTGGACACCATCCGAAACCTGGGCACCAAGCTGGCTCAGGAGATGGGCAAACTCACCAGCAACTTCAGACTGGGCTTTGGTTCCTTTGTGGACAAAAACATCTCGCCCTTCTCCTACACAGCACCCAAGTATCAGGAGAACCCCTGCAGTGGGTGGGTAGTTTCCTGAATTGTTAAAATGATATTCTGCCAACTGTAACCTGAGGCCATTTTTTTATGTTCATCCAGTTGATCTGCTCTGCTGGCAGCCACCACACAGCTGTTAAAACTCCAAAGTAATCCTTGGAATCAAATGCATCCAATCAAGTTAAGCCCAGGAGTGTTTGTGTTTGCCGCTGAAAGCTCAGATTGTTTGGAGTTCCTGCAGAGATTGACCTTTTTTGTTCACGAGTAGGATGCAGTTTTTTCAAAACTGGAAACATCGACTAAAGCTTTATTTGTAGCTAGCAGTTCTATGTCTCCCGCTGCCTTGATTTGTTTGTTTTACGGGTTATGCTGTGAAGCATTGCTCGTGTGTAAAGTCAAGAGAAAGTGCTGAGCTCGTGGAGCTTATTAGAAACATGCAGAGGCTTTTTAGGTCGGGTACAATCACTTCTATCTGAACCAGTTCTCTTGCCCGCTCACATCGCTGCAACACCTGTTGGTTTGACCTGATAACTGCTCTCATACCTGGCAAACCGAGGGGCGTCCAAAACGGCCGTGTGGGGGTGCCTTAAAACCGCCTACCTTCTCTGGTCCAAACAAATCCAGAGCATTCAGGACCAGAATCTAAAGTTAGAAGGATGACATACTGGCTGCTGCATTGTTGTCAGAGAAGCCAGCACTTCAACACAGCATGTTTCCTTAATGTCGGATCATATAGTAAGGTACCTTTATCATTTCACTCACTACACATCTCACTGATTGGACCTTTATATGTGAGGCGCTTTCATAACTTAGTTTTCCTTTAAATAAAACTGTTGAGCTCAAACACTTTCTTCGAGGGGTTATAACAAAGCTGGGCTTCCAAACACAAATATTAAGGGCTTACATTCTTGTAGATTGATATTTTTTTTACATTAAGAAGTGTAGATTTATCAAAGAATCGATGTGAGTTTGAGCTCAAGATGTTTTCTACTGAAACAGAAGTGTCACCGCAGACGAAAAGGGAAATCCTGAAATAATAATTCCCCCTCGGACCATCGTTCTATTTCTGCACATTCATGAATCATGTATAGTTGAACATCCTGCAGATCTGTGGTGTATGATAAGGCAGAGTAAAAGAGCACTTCTTGTCCTCCTGCACCCCTCTGGTTGTTGATGAGGTCAAACTGAAAGGCAGCAGAGCAGATTGGGGGGGGTAAAAAGGCTGCAGCACACGATGTTTGCCCCGAGGTGAGACAGCAGTGCACTAACGCAGTGCCCGCCATCGCGCATCACTGCCCATCTAGGTTATGGGTTTGGTTTAGTGTGTGTGTGTGTGTGTGTGTGTCACACACAGAGAAGCACGGCAGGCAAATATTTAAAGAGATAGAGGAAAACGTTTTGACCCCAAAGTTCTGCCATTGCTCATCGAGGTTACACAAGAGGAGGAAAACATGCAAGTGAATATCCGGCAGATTCAAACATGAAATAAGAACATATCTAATATTTTAAGTTGCCTTTTTACAAAACCTGTTTCCTTGTATAGTGATGGAATCAGAGCAGGTGAATAATAACTGATGTCCTGCCATGTGTGCAGAACGGAGACTCTCCAGCTGTTGCAGATCGGCTCTTTTAAAGCCTTTTTAGATGTGATAATATGTGGTAACATATCAGAATATGAACTTTTATTTCTGCTTTGTCATCCTGAGGTGACGTTCAGAGGGAGTATCTGGATCTGACCTCCCTTTCTCCCTCCCACAGATACAAACCGTTTCCTAACTGCGTCCCCACCTTCGGTTTCCGTAACATCCTCTCGCTGACGGATAAAGTCGACCGCTTCAACGAGGAGGTGCAGAAGCAGATGGTGTCCCGCAACAGGGACGCACCTGAGGGCGGGTTTGACGCCATCCTGCAGGCAGCTGTTTGTAAGGTGACAACAAGTGTCTCATTTCTGTCTCTCTGTTCTTAACGAGGCTTTAATCCCCTCTCACTGTCGAGTCGTCTTAATATTTACTTGAAAATGAACCTTCATGAGTTTTGTGACACACGCTGGGAATGCAGTGAAAATACCAAACTGCCCTTGTGCGGCTCTTTGCTTGTTAATTAAAAGCGGGGGTACGTACAGACAGGATGTGCAGTCCAGTGCAGCTGGTTAAACATAAGAAAGTAACTCGCAGGCCGAGTCGTTCACTCTGCCAGTTGAACTCTTCCTACAGGAAGAGAGCGACTCCCTCTCAGTGGCTCCTGCCCTGTAATTTAGTCGAGCTGCTCTGTTTCAAACACCCTCTGGAGGCTGGGCTGCGTCTGTCCCAAGGCCTGATCGATTCTTATTATTGAATTCTGAATGAAGGTCAGGCCAGCGAAGTGAGGCCTATCACATGAATATGACTCAAATGAACTAATCAAATCAAATACTTGTTTTCAAACCAGAAGAGAATGTTTTAACGGGAGGAGGAGCAGGAAGCTAGATTGATGTAGAGCTTTCACACTCACACAATAAAAAACCTCCTGAAGTTTTCTGGGTGAGCTGTATGTGTGAAAACATGTAGACACCCCCCCCCCCCCCCCTCCTTTCTTACAGGGATAGTCTCCTCCTGTGAGGTGCATGTGTGAACAACCACATCAGGAGGATTTCAGGAGCAGTCCTCCTGAGATTATCTAGATATTTTCAGGAGTGCAGATGTGAAAACGGCTTTTTCAAATCAGCACACCTTTGTGAATCTCACTAATACTACTAATAATACTGGAAGCTAACATGGATGATCTTTTGTATTGAACATTTTTGGAGCTAAAGTGCTGTTAAAGCTTTGGATGTTTTGTAACCACTAAAGCTTCAAAATGGACTGTTACTGCTTCAGCATAATCCCCGAAGTTAATGATCACAGACCGTCCACCGAGAAGTCTTCAGTTAGAGACACAATTTGAGCCTGTTACTTACAAAAAGCAGGACTTTCAGTGAAGGTGACTCATCTCTCGTATTTCGTGGCAGGAATTATGCTGCAGCCATTACCGCCCTTTTTGTAGCTGCAGGCTGAAGCACTCTGCTGAGGTCTGCATCATTTAGTATGAACATGGAGTCCTGGTTTTAAAATGTAGAAACAAGCCTTAAAGTTCTCTTTGGACTACAGAACTCTATAACCATGCCCATGAGGTAAACACAGTTTAGATCTTTGAAACCTAATAGCATCCCAGGACTCAGTCCCTGCTGTGTGTCATCCCCGTGTCATGCAAAGCTCGGCCTTCTCACACAAACATCTTTTCTGGCTTGCTAAACATTTACTGTAGTTGCTCATCACAGAGGCCTCTGATAGGATCATCCGCTGCTCTGTTGTGTTCACTCAAAACAAAAGAAGGACAACGTCCCTCTGTTCACTGGTAGAAATGTTCTGTTTCTTTAGTGCCGTGCATCAGTCAGCATTCTGTCAGTGCTCACTTTGGCCTGCCTGTTGTTTCCTGTTGATAAAGACAGGATTGTGCTTGTGGCCGAAAACTCTGGCTGTTGTTACACTCCCACTGTTTAGCGTGCGTTTAGATCAGAGGTTCTCGAACGTGTGGCAAGTTCTCATGATAAGCTTATAGTTCAAATTTGAGTTAGATATCTTTTATTTTGAACAGGTTAAAGGTCACATATCCTCCTCCTCTTCAACCAGTGTAAAAAAGTGTCAGAGCTCCCCAAAACATGTGTGTGAAGTGTCTTGTTCTAAATCCACTCTGATCCTGTATTTGATCATGCCTATAAACCCCTCTATTTCAGCCCTGCTCAGAACAGGCTGTTTCTGTGTCTGTACCTTTAAATATGTAAATGAGCTGTGTCTGACCACGCCCCCTCTCTGAAAGGGCTTGGGTGTCTCAAGCTTTCTCGCTCCATGTCCTATTGTTCACGGTGAGAAGGCAGACTCAGAGGGCAGAACAAACACCTAGCTGTGGGAGTGTCACCCACCTGGGGGAGGGGTTACTGCCCTTTGTGATGTCATGAAGGGAACATCTCCAAACGGCCTGTTTGAGCACACATTTTCTGAGAAGTGGAGCAGGCAAAAGACGGAGAGGATGGACTTTTCTCATCATTGGGGGGTTTGTAGACGGACTAGAGACACATATTAGAGTTAGAGAAACATGGAGGAGTGGATGTTTACAGAATATGTGACCTTTAGAATGATCCTAGAAACAAAGTCCCCTGTAGAAATTAAAGTCCATGGTCCTGTGTTCTGTGTGTCAGACGGAGATCGGGTGGAGAAAGGAGGCGTACCACCTACTGGTGTTCACCACAGATGATGTTCCTCATCTCGCTCTGGACGGTCGGCTGGGAGGCCTCGTCCAGCCGCACGATGGAAAGTGCCACCTGAACGAGAAGAACGAGTACAGCGCCTCCACAGAGATGGTAAGAGGAGCTGCCCCCTTTTTTTTTTGTCGTGCTTTGTCTCTTTAATTTATTTAAATATTCAAACAAAGAAAGATGCACGATGTAAATCAAAGAATAAAGGAGAGGTGTTATTATCAGAAACAAGCCGCTCTAAACGTCTGATCGTGCCAGAGTGTCAGCTGGAAGGATCCTTAAGAAACATTTTGGGGGGCGTGGGTACCCTAGCTGTTACTGCTGAATTCCACCAGATACTGTCTGGTCCATCACTGGCTCCGCTCCGCTGGGCTCTGTCTCAGCTCCAGCTCAGCTTCATGTGTGAATCTGTAATTCCTGCGGGAACTCCTTGGTCTCAGGACTCCAGCTGTCTGGCAGTGCTGCTGTAATGGACTGGAGCTAACTCATTTCTGGTGGAAGTTGCAGCCCATGTAGAGAGGCTTAAGTCCTCGAGAGCAGCCGGTCTGGGTTCTGACTCTGTCCAGTGTCCTGTCTCTAAAATAAACCTTTAACAAACATTTTAACCCTTCAGTTTTATACCCTGTTAGAAACCTCTGACATTGAATTTACTGTAACACACCTTGGCACTGTTCAGGTAACTTTTCTTTACAGAGTCCAGCTCTGACTCACGTTGGAATTTCCATTGTTTACTTAAAGAAAGATATGTCTGATACTTAGAGCCATTTTTCATTACAGTATGCTAACTGTAGCTGGCTGTCATCCAAGACTACGCTAGTGGATCTGAGCCCATTTTATATCAAGTATGTGAGAAAACCTGTGTGTTAACCCGGCACATTGCGTATTATTGAAACACCATGTGGAGGTAATTGCAGAGAGGAGGGCCAATGGTTAAGTCAACACCTGGAGGCAGCCAATAAAACCACAGAGTGGACTGTAGACTGTAAACTACACCAACACTTAAGGATGAATGTGTTTGTCTTTGACCTACATTAATAATCAAAACCTCAAAGTGTTGCCAATCAGCAGCTCTGATTTGAGATAAGATGCCAAATCAGGAGGACACATTCAATTTCACCACATTCAGCTACTGCTCTGCAAATTCTTTCACATGTTGCTTATAATGATGTATTCCAGAGGACGCCAGCCGGCTAATGCTTTGATAACTGATGGACATCATGTGGACGGCACAAGTTTTAAATACAAATTGGGAACTTTTTCATTTCTGTCTGAAACTCTTGATTTATTTCACATGACTCTTTGATAACCATGTTTATCATAACAGAGCTTCAGTAGAAACTAAGCGCTTTGAAAGAACAGATACGAGGCACGGTATCGGGTTCAAAAGGAGGTGTGTGTTTGGGTGTGCATTAAGAGCCAGGAGTTACGAGAATGCGACGTTGATAGCAGCATCCTCCGGTGTTGAAAAAACTAAGCCGATGCTGAAGTCCTGCAGTACCTCGAGTGTCCACTAGAGGCTGGCTGCAGAAGCACAGGAAGTCACATACACACCCATTCTAAAAAGCCTGTTTTTACAGTAAAGATTAACATGTTTACAGCCTGGTTCAAAAAGCCAAATAGGTCTGATTAGCTCATGTCTCGATCAGCACACACTGTACGGGTGGGGTGAATGTTTTGATGACTCATCCGTTTTGATTTGATGAAGGATAAGAGTTATTCACAATAAGGCGTGTAGCCGACCTGATTGACAGGCGGGCTCGATGTAGCGGTGTGTCAGTTGTTGATATCTTGTACAACTTTTAAAAACGTGCAGCGTTAAACAAATAAGATCGGAGATTCTCTTTGATGCTTAAGAAAAATCACATCAAGCTCCAGTGAGGTGTCAGAAGGCCAGCGGAGTGTTTCCTGAGTCAACACAACACCGGGGTCAGAATAACATCAACATATGTTTGCCGGCTTCCTGACAGGAAACTCTGTATTCATTACCCATAATGCCTCCCTCTCTGTCCCTGTCTCTCTATAGGACTATCCGTCTCTGGCTCTTCTGGGAGAGAAACTGGCTGAAAACAACATCTTTCTCATCTTTGCCGTGACCAAACGTTTCTATGTGATTTATAAGGTAGACCTTTAAAGAGTGTGTAATGTTCCTTTATTTTCATTTACATCCAGAAAATAACTAACGCTGCCCGTTTGTCTCCTTTCCCAAAGAATTTTACTGCCCTCATACCGGGGACCACAGTAGAAATCCTGGACCAGGACTCCAAGAATGTGATCCAGCTCATCGTCGCAGCGTACAATGTGAGTCCAGAGAGTCTGCTCTGACCGTCTGTGTGTGTGTGTGTGTGTGTGTGTGTGTGTGTGTGTGTGTGTGTGTGTGTGGTTTCCTGTTTGTGTGTGTGTGTGTGTGTGTGTGTGTGTGTGTGAGAGAGAGTAATAAGATAAGAGATAAGACGAGGGGGCGGGGGGGATGGGAACAGAGGCAGATTCTTTCATGTCTTCCCACCGCCGTGACACATTTAACGAGCCTCCAGCTGACATGGGTGGCCGCTCACAGGCTGCATGTCTCATGGTGGTGGAGACTCTGAGGTGCCGACGACGTGCTTTTAACAGCTGACTTTGTAGCAGATTGGGTCCTTCACGCTTATCTCGCACATGGATGGAAATAATTAAGTGATAGGGTGGTCAAAGGGAGTATTCTGTGATACTTGTCAATGTCACGTCAATGAAACGACAACATCTCCGTAACTTTAACTTTTCCAGGATCAGAAAGAACTGGAGCTTTAAAGTCTTAAACTAATGTTTTTAACTCATTTCAGACACCCAGGAATTATTTTCATCTTTAATCTGCCGCGGTATCGATATCCAGATTGTGTATCTTTGTGCTCGCAAAATTCAAACTGGTACCCTGAGGATGCTTTAAGATGATTCATCTGTCCCTGATCATCAGGGAGTACGTCAATCCTTCACACAGAGACATGCCTCGACATACTTCCGTCCCCTCTCCTTTCAGCTTTCTCAATCAGATAAATAAATAGAAATAACTGGACACATTGAAGCCTGATATTCATCTGCTCCGATGTCTTATAAAACTAAAAAAAGATTTTGAGCTGCCCTGCATTTAGTCAACTTTTCCCTCCGTGTTTTTCCGTGTGGGCGTTCAGATTTTCAGGAGGAGCTGCGTCTTTGGCCCCGTGGCAGAGTCTTCTCTGCGACTGAAACTCGTGTCAAACTCCGACTGTGACATGCCGAGTGTGTGGGTGGAAGCCTGAATGAAGTTCTTTGACTCCCTGCCTTATTAACATTCCAGCCGCCACGTTATATCCACCACTTGTCGGCTTTGCCAAACACTGAGGTTTCACTGTGTACCCCACAGATTTTTTTTTTTTCCTCAAGTTTGAAGCGTGGCACAAAGCTGCTGCCCGCTGTGATTGCTTTAAGGGTCAGAAAAGAGTCCGAGTGAGGGGATGAGGGAGAACTAATCCATGTGCAGATATCCTCATTTAGTAAATGTGCATGAAACACAGATTCTGTGGGCACGTGTCTATCAGAGCCTGCCGCAGCTGGCATTGTATTTCACAAGATTCAGTTACAACCTGCATCCATGCACAGTGCCTGTGGTTTCACTCAGATTAACTGTAAAAATGTGCTTAACCGAGGCGATACATTCCCCATGTTTCACTCTTTTCCACTCCTTAAAGACCTTAAAGCCTCTGGAAAGCCAAATCCACAAAAAGCTTCTAACTATGTTCTGTATGAGCTTATGTCCATAACACAAAGTCTCTAAAAGTATTAAACGTTACCTTCCAACCATAATTGAGATGAATGTGTGACATGTTCCACATAAATATCTCATACATCAAGTCTATCTTCTGTAAATGTGTCTCTGAGTCATGACTGTCTACAATGAGTGAGAAGCTCGAGTCCCGCTGGCTGTGTTGTTGTCAGAGCCGTGTTTACATGGACGGGACGGATGGCTCCTCCTCTTGTGTATAAAAGCTGTTTTAGTCAATGACTGGAGAGAAGAAGAAGAACATACTCGCTCATCATTTGGATGTTAGTAACAGGAGGCTGGTTGGAGGTGTGTCTCTGTAGGAGAGCGGAGGCTTCAGTATGGAGGAGGTGTGGCCTAACAGCGGTTTGTTTTGGTTTCATGCTGGTGCTCAAGGGGGACATGATCAAAAAGTCGCACATTATTTAGGTTTTTGAACATTTTCGGACGTTTGGTGTGGAGTGGACGGGGTTAGCTTAGCTTTCACGTTCCTGTTTGACGTTCCTGGCTGCACATCCTCTGGTGAAGCTGACAGCTTGTGGTGCTGTTGATTTGGAGAAACAGAAGGTGGCGTTTCGGTTTTGTGAGGGAAAGCTCCACTCTATGCCAAACGGGCTCCAGCGTCTATCACCCGGATTCACTCAGTGTTTTGTGTATGCTTCATGATACATTACATTTTGATGTCACATGTGTGATTTTTAATATTTCAAGTCGGGTCACAGGAGGCTTTACATGACTCACTGAGGTGGTTTTTATATGAATCGTATGAATGTGAGTTTAACTTCAGGACAGTGTGATAATGTGTATCAGCTGCAGAAGAACCTGAAAGGAGTTACTGTACCAAGCAGCAACAGTAATCTTTTGTAAAAACCTTGAGTTGCTAACGTGTCCTGATAAAGTCTCGTGTTTTCCTCAGAACATCCGCTCCAAAGTGGAGCTGTCGGTGTGGGATCACCCGGAGGACATCAGCCTTTCCTTCACAGCCACCTGCCAGGATGGAAAACCGCTGCCAGGCCTCAGGAAGTGTGCCGACCTGAAGATCGGCGACACGGTGAGTCCCTGTCCCCGCTCCTCTTTCAGACTCGCCTCGCAGTCTGAATGTTTGATGCAGCGTGTTCCTGCGACCGGTCTTTCCTCTTAAGGCTTATGAAAACTTTATCAGAGGCTTTAAAGGGGGAGTCAGATATTTATAAACCCGGGCCCTTCTTTCACATGTTTTGGGGTCTCATGGGTACACACACACACTTTTTACTCGCTTCACCTGGACAACACTGAAGGGCTTCAATAACTACACGACAAGGTGTGAAATAAATGTTTTAACTTTTTTCGGCTCACCGTAGAAAGTCGTCCTCAGCGTCTCCCTGTAGTCTCAGTGATGTAAAAGAAGGACACTGCTGCATCTTTGAATGTCTCAATTCACTTTAACAAACTCTCAGACAGCTCAGCTGACGAGTCCAAAGTAATATCCACCTTATGACATCACACATTGACCTTATGACATCACACATTGACCTTTGTTACCTTTCCCTGTGCTGTTTGACCTCACTTTGGGGTCCCTAACCACTTCCTGTTTATGTGCTTAACTTCATGTCCTGACCTTCATCTACAGGAAGGACCTTACTTTATTTCAAAATAAAAGCACACAGCAAGTAGAGATCCTCCTCGTATTTATTCTGACTTTATTCCCTGTGATCGCTGCACGACCATAGACTGTCTGCACGCCACCTCTACCATCTCCGTGCTCTAATGAACCTGCTGCATTATGTTTCCTGTTCTCCAGTATGTTCTTCTCCACTCTTTAGTTCACATTGAGATTCTGTTCAACTACATGTAGCATTGATAGAAAGACACACATTCTCATTATAGCGTCGTATAGAGCAGGGGTTCACAAACTTTTCAGCTTGCGACCCCCATTATGACGGTGATAGATATTTGGGACCCCACATTTGACGCTCTAGGTCAAAACACTGGCATTAAAACAGCAAACAATAGCCCAAACACCATCATATTATTTTTGTAATTTATTTTAAGACTACTTTTTTTACCTACTGTATTTTCAAATTAATGTATTTGAAATATCCAATTTCAAACCATTTTCATATGTTTTTGAAAGGAATCTCGCGACCCCCCTAACAGTGTTCCGCAACCCCCCCAGTGGGCCGCGACCCCCACTTTGGGAACCACTGGTATAGAGGACTCTGATGCTTCATCTGCTACTTCCGCGTCTTTTTTTAACATCACGTCTGACCTCAGTAGACTCCGCTCTATGACATGACCTGTAAGCTGGTGCTGTGCAGGCTGTCGCTGTGAGCTGAAGTAAATCAGAACACATGGTGAAAACGTTCCAACTTGTTCTGCCAGGGATCAATATTTTCACAGGACATTCAGAGCAGCTCTTTCAGCTGAATCGAGGCCACACGGAAAGTGTTGCACAACAGTGGAAAACAACCTTTTGAGAGGTTTCAGATTGATGCTGTTGGATTTAGTAATGTGCGTTCATGCCACACAAATATTTGTGTATTTTTCCAAGGAAGAATAATTTGAGGTTGGAGCTCACATCACATTCATGATGTGCAGCACTGCGACTGTTTCCCTTCTAATGTTACAGGAGACGATCATTTAAAGGTGTCTCCGTGTGAAAAGCAGAACATGTGTGGTGAAGGTTACACGGGATCGATGCTGCGATCACGGGTCATGTATTGTGAATTGGCTGCAGAGAAGCTCCTTGTGCAGTTTTTTTTCAGCATGCAAGGATGTGTTGCTATGGAAACGATGTCCGGAGTTAAAAGGCTCTGGTAGAGAATGTCTTCATACCCCTCATTGAACACCTTTTGTGTGCAGGCTTATATGATTTAGTGCTACAATGGGAGACAGCAGAGAAACCAACTCGTCTTACTCGAGGAGTGAACACAAAGTTTTAAGTTTTCTCGTCTTTAAAATCTGGAAAATACATTTTTATGGCATGCAAGGAAAAGTCTTTGATCTTTCCGAATTTGGCTTTGCAGAGGGAAATCTTCATTCAGGGCCTGTGTCAGTCCGTTACGTGTGTTTAAGATGTTCAGAGTGGTGACTCGGCAGACTGGGCTGAACGCAGTGTGACCTTTGAATCCAACACAAGTGACTTCCTGTCTGCTGAAATCAAGCTGACTTGGAGGAGGAGTGGAGGGGTCTCCTCACTGATACCACAGAAATAGTCTCTGCATCCTTTGAGGAGTAACCTAAGCCACAATGACGGGGCACACTGTCTGACTGTGTGTGTGTGTGTGTGTGTGTGTGTGTGTGTGTGTGTGTGTGTGTGTGTGTGTGTGTGTGTGTGTGTGTGTGTGTGTGTGTGTGTGTGTGTGTGTGTGTGTGTGTGTGTGTGTGTGTGTGTGTGTGTGTGTGTGTGTGTGTGTGTGTGTGTGTGTGTGTGTGTGTGTGTGTGTGTGTGTGTGTGTGTGTGGGGGAGGGGGTCACTCCAGGACACATACAGGGTCCCTCTCCTCTCTCCTGACCTCTAACACAGTCATTGTTTCCCCTGAGTGTGTGGATTTATGCTCCCTGATAATTCAGTTTTTACAACCTTATGACGCTTTTCTAATTTCTCCAGAAGGTTTACTGTATCATAAAACAGATTTCTTGGCAGAAGTCACTCGTTCCTCTTGGAATATTTCTTCTCTGAGCTGGATTCAATCAGCCGAAAGTCTCACACCAGGTCCTGGTGGCCCAGTGGAAATGTTTCTCCTGGCTGACCCTCTGCCTCACATCCATTAAGACCGTGGAGGAAGTCCATTACTGCTTCTCTGATTTCATTACAGTATCTGATAAGCCTTCAAGCTTTAGATCTATGAGTGGGTGTGGAGCTTCTGGCGCCCACACCGAAATAATTTCAGCCTGTTGTGTTCAGGATTTTTTCCTTCGGCTTGGAGGTAACGCTTGAGGAAGTTGTAGCTGTGAGGTCATTGAAGGAATCAGAGGATTCACAGTCAGTGAAGAGTTATAGAGAGAGAGGTCACTCATGTAGTGTTTGATTTTTGAACGGTCAAATTATTAATTCTGAAAACGATTCATAATTCATTAATTGATCATAAACAGTAGTTTAAAGTCAGTCGCAGCTACACGCTTCAGCTGCGTTCGTTCTCAGTTGGTGTCTGTGTGAACAAAAGAAGAGGTTGGGGGGGGGGGACAGGACGATCGTACATCTTTTATAGATTTGAATTTTGCACAGCCCTCTCTCTGGAGGTCACTTTATATTCTGTCCAGGACCCTCTATTAAGATCTGGATTGAGTCCTGAATCCATTGTGAATGCTTGCAAGGGGCAGCTCCATACATGCAGGCACACCATGAGCTCCAGCGTGGTGGAATTCTTTACCCCAACCCCCCCTCCCCGCCCCCCCCGCTCTTCTCTGGGCTGCTTTCTTTTCCTGGTTTGGGGATGGGAAAGGGAAAGAGTGTAGAATAGAAGAACACCATTGAATGGGGGGGGGGGGGGTGCTTTGGGGTGATCATCCTTGCTCTAGTCTTTTATTCTCGGCGGTGAAAGGAGTCGGTGGGGGGGGGGGGTGCCAAACTTCTCAGTCTTTCTGTGAGGAGGACATGGCCCGGTCCTCGTCCCAGGTGTCAGTCACTGAGCCCGCCGTGGAGCCTGACGCTGCATCTCAATGACGGCACACAAAAGTAGGCAGGAGGGGGCCTGTGAAACTGCAGACCATGAATGAGGAGAGCTGGCAGCGGGAGAAATGTGAGAGCGGAGAGTGTGTGAAGCTATATGCATATGAATGAAAGTGAGTCTGCGCTGACATACAGACGCTTCCACGTTCGGGTTGTTTGTGTTTGACCTTCTCATCAGTTTTGTCCCGCTTAATTGAATTTAGAGCAGTCATAAGAATCCCATCATCCCAAAAGATTCTTCTCCATTTCTTCCCCAAACATAATGAAGTCTTTGATAGAACATGTTTGTCTTTGTGTTAACCATCTTAAATCTTAGAGATTTAAAGTTGTAGCACATCATCTCGTACCCTCTTCCCTCATTTCTCTCCTTGAGTGAAGTTTGCATCCTGAGCTTTTTCCTCAGTGACTAAATTTTATTACTGCAGGATATTACATCCCCTCACTCTCCCCTCTCTCCATCCTATTTTCCTTTTACTACTACTTCCGCTTGAATTCTTTTTACCCCTCCACAACCTCATACTTGTCCTGACTCAGTCACATGATTTGGGGGAACTTGCCTCCTCGCGACTCACATTTAAAGTCAATTTAATTTTGTGTCTCGTTAACTCGTTAAGCTTCCCGCGCTTCTGTGAAGGGGGGGGGGAGTCCGGGCAGCATGTGACGTAGACGCACCGTGTATCCTGAAGCAGCTCGTGTTGTTTATAGACGGGAGTTGTGGAGGTCAGAGGTGACCAGATTTAAAAGAGAGCCTGGAGCTTTGCAGAAATGAATCAGAATGAATCAAAGCCAATGAATGATTAAAGGGTTAATAATATCATTAAAGCTATGATGAAAAGCATGCATGGCTGCTGTAGACAAGTTGCCTGTAAATTAAAGGACCGATATGTAAGATATCTACGCTGATGGCTGGCAAAACATGGCCGAGGTATTTATCCGAGGTAAGGAAAGCAAAACAGGAAGCTCCCGTTTGAAGGATTTATTAAGTGGTGTTTTGAGCCGACATGCTCTAGGTATTAATCCTACACATGAGGAACAGTTGTGACATATTTGGCAACACGTCACAGAAACTGGCTGCACATGCAGGATGCTTTTAAATAAAGTATTCAGCTCTAAACTCACACGTTCTGGCAGAGAAGAGCCGATGCTGCAGGGGAGGAATGTTTCCTCAGTTTGTCGTCTGAGGGTCGAGTTCTTCTAGTCGGCGCTTCAAAGCAGAACGGGCTCTCATCACTCTTCTTACAGATCCTGTAACATCTGTCGGTCTGTGTGTTTTGATATATAATGACTGCTAATCTAACATGGCTGTAAACACTCTCAAAGTTAAGCTGCACTCTGGCACCTAAAGCTCACAATCATTGTTCTTGTTTCTGATCCAGTCTGGAGTGGAGCAGAGCCAAACCAGAGCACAACATGTGCCTTTCTTTCATTTTGTCACAGACTTATAATACATGGTGTTAAATCGAAAACATGCGTTTATGCAGCAGCCAGTGATGCTGATTAAAATCAGGACGACATGAAAGACTAACCCTGAGCTGTGCATCGAGCAGACAGCGCTCTGGACGTTCGCTGTGGTCGTTATGAAATGAGGAAAATACCAGAAGAACGTGCTCATGCTGGAGCAGAAAGAAGGCAGCCTGGGTTGGGTTTCTCTTCCTTCCTCCGAGCAATCAGATGGGTGTAGGTCTGTTGTCATGGCCCACTTTCTTTCTTACACACTGGTGTAAACAGAACCCAGGGTCGTGTGTAGTTCATGTTTACAGCCTGAAGCTGCCAACTGTTTTTTTTTGTTTCTGCTCAGAGGGAAAGCTGCAGGGTGGGATCAGGTCACGATGGTGGTCCCTGAACTTGACCTGAACTCTTCGGATTACACGGATATGAAGCTGCTATCTCTTCTCCATCCCTGCCAGAGATTACACTTTGTATTTCCTCTTTTGTAGGTGTCCTTCAATGTGAGCGTGGAGGCGAGGAGCTGCCCTCCCCGCGGCACCGACCAGAGCTTCACTATCAGGCCGGTGGGCTTCAAAGACCGCCTGGAGGTGTCTGTGGATTATCAGTGTGACTGTGACTGCAGCAAGAAAGCCCAAACCAACAGCAGCATCTGCAGCTCCATAGGTACGTCATCCTGCGTTACACGGTCTATTTATTTCAGGATATGACACCCTGATCAGACAGAGTGAAAGAGTTGTTAAAATATTTTTAAAACGTTGGAGACGGTATGAGTCTGTTTGAGTCGGGTTTCATGGCCGCTGGTGGAAGAGATCAATTCTGAGAAGCTGTGTTTGATGTGTGCACATGAATAATCTTGTAGAAAATGAGGGGTCTACAGGGTGCGCAGCAGTCATGCATATTAATCTGTGATCAGTCGGTTGGGTAAAACTAATCTTGCCCTTGCAGGTACATATAACTGCGGGAAGTGTCAGTGCGAGCCGGGCTACCTGGGAGCCCGCTGTGAGTGCCAGGAGGGCGACACCAGCAGCATGTACCTGAGCGCCTGCAGGGAGGCCGAGGGCAAGCAGATCTGCAGCGGGAGAGGAGAGTGCAGCTGCAACCAGTGTCTCTGCTTCAAGTCCGAGTTTGGGAAGATTTACGGGAGCTACTGCGAGTGTGACGACTTCTCCTGCGCCAGACACAAAGGAATCCTCTGCTCAGGTAGGAACGTCACCCACTGCGTTTCTTTTTATTTCCTCTGACGCAGAGTTTGAGGAGCTGAGCCTGTAGGAAGGAGGTGTTTTGATCCTCCCTGAGCGTCCAACTAAACGAGAAAAACAAGCTCACATCAAACACGCTTGTACACTCCTCAGATCTGCTGCATGTTGTGGGTTATAATGAGCTGTGTTTCCCGTTCATGATGATGAGTCACACTCCCATACCTGCCGTGGGTGTGTCTCTGCGGTTTGGCCTCCTCCTGACTCCAAAAAGCAGCTTTTTTTTTTTTTTTTTCGACTGAGCGGTAACTGTCACCTGGAGGGCTGCTGGCTTCAGTCCCAGAAGAAGCTCTGAAGGAGCTTCAGTAGTTGTTCAGATGTTCAGCTTGTGTTTTGTCTCTCGTTGGGGGGGGGGGCTTGTTTTTGTATGATACTCGTCCAGGACCGGAGAGAGGGTGGAGGGACTTGTCTTGCTGGAATCAAAGGAAGAGATGTGTGAAAGAAGAAGACAAAAATCAGAGATTCTTTAGGCTTTCTTAGAGCTTTGAGCTGGAGCATTTTGTCTTTTCATTATCTCCATGGTGTCATCCTGAGGCGTAAACATGCCCTGTTGATCAGTCTTTGTTTATGTCGACTTATTCCTATGGAGACAGACCTCCTGCAGGCTGTTTCTTTGTACGGTTTTATGCCATTTACAATAAAAACTTAATTAGCATGCTTCATTAGTCATTGTTCTTGCAGAGGAAATCTAAAACCGGGCGTACACTGTACATTTTGAGGCCGATTTAGACCTGATTTTTGAGATGCAGGACGGATTTTCAGCTAAACCGCACGTTGTCAGTCGTGCAGCGTACACTGAGGCATGACGGTAAAACACTGACCAATCAGCTGCTCCCGACTGGTGGGATGATTTTCTGGTGTGTCTTGATATTTTGGTCGTACGACTTCACACACTCACACAGTGAGAGCAGAGCCACGAGATGATTCCCCGCCCTGTGACTTTTTCCTCCTGTTTTTTTTACCTGCACAAACGACACATCCCAAATCACCATGGCAACAGCAGGCGTGCCTGTTTAATCTGTTTTCCCCCACCGATCATGAACGAAACGTTGGGAGGAGATATCTGCAGACCTCCAGCTTAGTTCTGATGTAGCGGTTAGTGAGCGTGTGTTTGTTTGATGCCGAGTGTCATAATCTCCACCAGCTTTCAAACCTCTGAAACAAAACCCAAAGGCATCTGTTTTTTGGGTTATAACACTGTGTGTTTGATGATGAAGTTTGATGTTACATGAGATGAAAGAAGCGGTGAATATGGGCATCCCACATCAGTCAGGCCCTATAACAAACTATCAACATCTTTCTTTGGGAGATTTGAAGCATCCCACAAATAACTTCACACTAAGAGAAAAACACATGCAGTCAGAGTATTTAACATGATGAAACAATTTTCTCTCTTATCATTAATAAGTGAGAAATACAAAAAGTAAAGATCAGCCAAGATTTGAATTTCCCTCGGGATCAATAAAGTATCTATCTATCATCCTCAAGCTTTAAGAAATATTTCTTTTTCTACTCTCAGAGCACGATGTTGTGTCCATTTCTAATTCTTGAATTATTTTTTCATTTTGAATCTCCACACTTTAATCACTGGTAGTTTTTTTAACTTAGAGTTTTAGCTTGAACAGTACAGAGTCTTAAGATGTGAAGCATTAAAACTACTCCAGGAAATGACATTGGAAAACATTGTGTTGGTTGTTGGAGTCTAAAGGGTTAAGGTCCTCTCTCTGAGCTCGGAGGCTAAAAAGAGAGGCTCGGTTTGAAAAGGCAGGTTTGGCTCGGCTGAACCAACCAGGCCGAGGCTGTTGTGTTCCCAGGACATCGGGTCCAACACTCTGCATTCTGGAGCAGGACCTGCTGGATCGGCCCCAGGACAGCAACTGTTCCCCTGAAACCACAGAGAGCGCTTTGTGACGGAGGGGCCAGTTTTTGGCGTGATCCCCCCCCTGACACAATGCTCGCCTCTATTTATCTCTCTGCGGGAGGAACAGAAGTGTTTGGTTTAGTCAGCAGCGGGGACGGACACGGTGAATGCACAGATGCAGAATGGCTGGATCATCTACAAGCAGTCATTAAATGTTAACAGTCCGCTACCTTCTGCTGCTCTCTCCTCCTCTCTCAGCGTGGGCGCCATAATGAGTCCTAATGACAGCAAACGCTACGCCTCCTCCACACTTCCCTCCCTTGCTCCTGGGATTCTGACAGTTAATTATCGTGCAGAGCCCTGCGTGCAGCAGGCTCTGGGCCTCGCTCTTTTCGAAAAAGATTCCACAGGATATACTATGAAGTTCTGCTCGCCCCCCTTAGCAAGCAGACTGATCCTGTAAATAGCATCGGGCTTCACCTGATATTCCGCCGTCTGGGAAGGTCTTCAGTGTTCAGTCGTATAAACGGCCTCCAGGCTCGGCAGGTTTTATTAAAGAGGAAATCAGCTGGCAGCGTATCCAAAGCACGGCCTTCTTCTTAAAGAACTCCTCGTCTCCTTGAATATCTGAGAGCAGCTCGCTGTCAGTCTGTTGGTTCGTCATGCCGGCTGCAAAGAGCGCGCAACGATCAGATCAAAGATCACGACTGATGTCAGGTGTTGTTTCTTGTCGAGGACGCTTGTCAGAAGAAACATTTAGTTTAACTCTGTGATAACAACATTAGTTTTGTTTTCTTGAGATCTCCACTTACTAATCTGGTTATCTCTGGATACAAAATGCTGCTTTGTCCCGTGATAAACAAAGTAAGTAGTTTAGATCTCTGTACTTGTTATAACGGGAAAAGGGAAAGGAAAAGCCCCTTACCACTTTGTTTCTGAAGAGTATGACGGGAATCTGTTCAAGAACAGGGATTTAAGCCTCAGTGAAAAACTCTACCGGTGGTTTTGGAAGCTCCAGATTCACGTCAACATGTGTTTAACCTTTGACCTTTTTTAGCTGCTACACATCCTAAACACACAAACACACCCTGTAGTCTCTGAGAGTTGTGTTAGTGCATCTTTTCATCGACCACAAAAGAGAGCTGACCTGAGCCCACACCGAGATAACCAATCAGTGACGAGCATCTCGAAAACATCCTTAAGTAACACTGACTGCAATCTTTGAGTCGGTTACTGTAGCAGGTTTCTTTCAGTCCCGCTTCATTGGGAAGAGAGAAAGTGAGTCAATATAAAAAAATCAGCGTCGTGTTGTTTTCCATCTCATGAGCTGCAGTAAATCTGAGAGGCTCACTGGGGAGCTGTGAGCTCTGGTGGGTTTGGCTGGTCGGCTGTCGCGTGTCACCACAGCGAATACACACCCATTTAGTGTGTGATTCATGTACACACACACACACACACACACACAGCTCATAAGAACAGCTGGTCTGGTCAGCAGGTGTGAGCCACAGCTGGGCGAGGAGAGCGGCGTGCTTCTGTCCTCACGTTCACCTCCGACTGCATCTGATTCAAAGAGCAGAAAGAGGAACTCAAGAGCAGTTTCATCCAACTGAGCTGTCAGGAAGCTGAACTCTCACCTCTCCACCCTGGACATGAAACCTCCACCCACACCCCCACGAACGGGAAGTCTAAAGCACCTGACACTTTCACAGTTTGTACCGTGGTTGGGTGAGAAACGTTTTTTCATGATGTCATGATGTAACTCGATCAACGGGAAGTGTAGGAGGATGGGAGGGGATCAGTTGTGTCATGTTTGATCAGTAAGTTGACTAAAATGTGACTCAACAAAAACAGGAAATGCTGAGTTTGAATTAAAAAAGATATTGTGTAAAGCAGCTTTGACCATAAGGAAAAGATTTGATTTGCAAAAAACAACAAAAATCACATAAAGCATCAACTCTTCTTTAAAGGAGCAGTATGTAACTCTGACACCTAGTGTTTAAAATGGGAACTGCAGTCTAAATTCTTTTCATCATAGAGAGCTGTCTCCCCCCCCCCCCCCGCCCCCTCCTCTCTAGAGTTGTTGATCACGCAGGTTGCCATGTGGTGGACACTGTAGCTTCAGTGTTTAGCCAGCTCTGCATCGGTCTGTAAACCTTTCTGCGTTCTAACCTCTCTCCATTTTTCAAAAGCATCTCCAATATTGATCCTAGTTTGAGCACGTTTCTGCTCGTGGAGCTTATTAGAAACATGCAGAGGCTTTTTAGGTCGAGTACAATCACTTCTATCTGAACCACTTCTCTTGATCACTTCCATCGCTGCAACACCTGTTGGTTTGACCTGATAACTGCTCTCATATCTGGCAAACCGAGGGGCGTCCAAAACGGAAGTGTGGGGGTGCCTTAAAACCGCCTACCTTCTCTGGTCCTAACAAATCCAGACCATTCAGGACCAGAATCTAAAGTTAGAAGGAGGACATACTGGCTGCTGCATTGTTGTCAGAGAAGCCAGCACTTCAACATAGCATGTTGATCATATAGTCAGCTCACTTTATCATTTCACTCACTACACATCTTACTGACTGCTACGTTGTAGTTGTCTCTGTAGTTGTTAACAGGACGCTATAAGGAGGATGTTGTAAATCTGGGGTCAGATGAACTGTGCTGTAAGACTATCTGTCCCTGAATGTTCTTGTAATCTTATCCTCAGTATCCACTCGGCCATCTGTCCTTGTGTTTGTCTTGCGTATCGCTTTGTGGCGCCTCGAATCTCTCTGAGGAGATTCTTCAAGTTGAAGGATGTAGAAACTCTGACCTGAGCTAAACCTGCTATGTATCAGTGCACTGATTATCTAGAAAACACTTGTTTGTGTGTTAAGTTTTCTCTTTAGAAAATCATGCAAATAAGAGTCTAAGCCAGACAATTTCATAAGGGGCTCATTAGAACTCACACTGACTGCATGTCTGCTGAGGGAAAGTGTAGAATCAAATATTGAAACATTTAGGTAAGCATGGTATTTGTATCACAAAGTGTTTCCACAGGGCGGAGACGATATTAAATACTGTCTCTCATATTAAAGTTTATTA